AGACGTGTGCTCTTCCGATCTGCCGCGAACAACATACTAGCAGTATGGAAGGGATTATTTTATAAGTTTGGCTGTTTTGTAAAAGTCGCATACTGAGAGTCGAAAGATTTCCCCACATCGAGAACTAAAAAAATTTTTTTCTCGAAAACGAGACAAAACACGCGTTCTTGAGTTTTTTTTCTAAGATGTAGGAAAACTGAAAGTATACATAAAAAATATTTTTTCAGATTTTTTCTCTCCCTGATTGTTAAAAAATTTGTTAAAAAACTTATTGTTAAATAAACAATGGAAACCAAAACCTTCTTGAAATCTTCATTTTTTCCCGTAAACTAGAACATTTTTAGCGTATTTAAAAAAAAAGTTAGCTATCATTATTAGTAACAGAGTTATGAATTTTTGAAGAATAAAGTAGTCTAATTTTTAATTGTTCATATTTCGATTAATTTGGCAATAAAAAAAATCCTTTGGCACAAAATTCTATCTCCCAGAGTACTATCTATAAAAATTTTGAAATTTGAAAAAATTTCTGAGATGACTGATCCGCTTCACGTGGAATAACCCATACGTATATTGTATCATTAGCATAACATCTAGCTGGCTCTGTAGTTCTTCTTTGTTTAGTTTTATCGATATTCATTTGTATGAATATAATTCTTTGTTCTATTTAAAAGTCCTAAAATTAATAAATAATACCTCTTCAATCGAAATCATCGCAACAGGCCGCCTAGAAAATTATCGAAATGAGTCAGAATATCTAGAAGTCTCTTTTTTCTAAATTTCTTCCCTTCTTCTACCGTAACATTCCGCGAAATAGACTAACAATAAATTAACTCTCTTTTCGTTCACACTTTACACTAATATGTTTTCAACTAATATGTAACTAATACTTGAATAATTTAGTGTAATAATCTGGGAAAAAACACTGTCCACATAAACTTAAAGTTATTTCCTCGAAAGTCTGCCCTATGCTCTCTGTACTCATATATTGTGACACCCTGACGAACAGC